CTCAGATTTCTCACATCTGTTTGTCTCTCTCTCTCTCTCTCTCTCTCTCTCTCTCTCTCTCTCTCTCTGAGCAGCAGGGAGAGGTGAGGTTAAAGTGTCTAACAGCTCTGCAGGGTTTGTATTATAACCGTGAGCTGAATGCCAGACTGGAACTCTTCACCAGCCGCTTCAAGGTAAGATCGACATCTGGACTTTAAATTGATTGAAGATCAATGGACTTGATTGTTGTTTCTGATGTTATAAACTACGGTTCTCTATAAACGTGGCTTCAGAATAATCTTTGCTGCTTTATTTAACTTTGAAAAACACAAATGTTATCTAAGCCGTTTTTCCTTCTCGGTGCTCTGAAACACGATTTCCATATTGAACAGATAAACTACAGTGACCGCTGTGTAACGTAACGTATAATATGCTGACATGAATCTGGGTCTGTTTCTGTGTGCAGGACCGGATCGTGTCCATGGCTCTGGATAAAGAGTGTGACGTGGCTGTTCAGGCCATTAAACTCCTCACACTGGTCCTGCAGTGAGTGACCTTTAGGATTCTGACCTCTGACATTAGTGCACTTGTGTCAAAACTGTTTCTGACACATCACTGTGTTCTGTATCAGTATGTACCGAATCCTGCCTGCTGCTGTTTATTAGTTGTGTGTAAAAACCTGTAAAACACATCTGATCTCCTCCGTTTGAGTCGATTAATCTTCATTGCACTCTAGTAATCTGATCTAGTCTGACTGAACATAATCAGCGTGATTCACACGGGAGGCCGAGGAGCCGACGCTGAGCAGATCGGCTGAGTTACTGTTTTATCCACCTTACGCAGAAAGTTCACTTTTAAACGCACGGAGTTCAATAAACACACCAGTCTGAAATATCAGACAAATAGAATCACCGTCTGAAGCCGATATGGTTGAGATATGAATGTGTAGCTCTATATCAGCATCTTTCACACATGAAAATGCAGCTCAGCGTTTCGTGTTGTGTTTAAAACAGTACATTTTTCCTAAAAGCTGAACAAAAATACATGCAGTGTTTATTTCAATGAAAAAGCTGGAACAGGGCAGCTTCACTAAGCTTCTCTAGATCACTGCACTGATCGAAGCCCCACTTCTGTTTTTTAAAGATCCTTTTTATGCATCAAGTCGCCCGTCAGTGCAGTGATACAGTACAGCGTTAGAAAGCTGAGAACCGTTTACAACATCAGCACCGAACGAACACCAGCAGATCTGAGTGTCGTCACCTTCAGAGCCTCTCCGCCTCCACAGAGACGCCATCATCCAGAGCATGAGGTCTGATAACACGGCAAGAGTCGGAGATCGGTTTAGAGATCTGTGAGGAAATAAACTCCTCTGTTCTAGACTCTGTTACTCTGAGTCAGTGACTCAGACAGTTATGCTGACTGAGGGAATTTCCTTTCAAATGAGACCGAGATCATCGCTATAGAACAAACTCTGTGGGAACAGCGCCCCCTTTACTTTGGCTACGGTGCTTCAGGCCAAAATGGGGCACGCAGTTAAAGAGTAAGGAAAGATTAAAAGTCATTAAATAGTCAGTGCTGTGTTTGTGTTGTAATACCAAGTGTGTGTGTGTGTGTGTGTGTGTGTGTGTGTGTGTGTGTAGGAGCAGCGACGAGGTCCTGACGGCCGAAGACTGTGAGAGCGTCTATCACCTGGTTTACTCCGCCCACAGACCCATCGCCGTGGCAGCGGGAGAGTTCCTCTACAAAAAGTGAGTCACGTGATCCGCCAGGTGGCTGAGCTTCACCTGCATTAACGCCTGCAGCCTGTCGCACCTGCAGCCTGTCGCACCTGCAGCCTGTCGCACCAGCTGAACGTGAACTGCTGCTACGTTCAGGTTTATGAGCTAATAGAATTTAACTGGCTGCACCAAGTAACACAGTTTCAGCGTAGCTTTAAGGTATAACTTCATGTTCACCCGTACCGCCTAGTCGGCGCAAGATCTGCCGTAAAACTGTCAGTGAAAACGGCTCGTCGATTCGGTTGACGGGAAAACTTCCAAACGAAATACGCCTCAGTTTGCGTCACAGACACACACAGTAAAGGAGCCCCGAGTCCTGCTTTGTGTCTCTGAGATGTTTTTCTGCAGGGTCATTACTAAACCTGGTGGGCGACTCTGTTAAAGTACACGGGTCAACTGTGGTCAGAGCGATAAGAGCCGCTCCATCAGGGCTCAGGCTGTGTGACGCTGACCTCATTATCATACGATACAGAATACAGATGATTGTTAAAATACGGGGTGATTCAAAAGATTAATCCGATTTCAAAGCGGACGTTTTCACTGCGTGTGGAGATCAGGCGTGCAGTGTTTCCTGTTTATGTCGTTGCTGATCGGCTGCAGCGTGAAAACGTCGTTCTGTGAGTTTTGATCTACGGTCACTTTACGCTCCGCTAGTTAAGATGTACCGTAAGTGTCCGTGGTGCAGCCGAAATTCTGTGTCGCTAGTTTTAAACGAACTGCTCTCAGCGTGAGGTTTAGGCTGGACAAGCGCACGTCCAGCTGGCGCAGATCCAGATCCTCACCTCATTAAAGATCCTCAGCTCTGCTGATGTGTCAGTTACACACATTAATGATTGATTTTCCACTGGTCTGTTAAAAATGAATCCGTTTACCTCGGTGTGTGTTTAAGTGTGTTCTTAGTGTTAGTTGCTCTTCTTCCAGCATGACCTGGTTTTGGAAATCAGACTTCGACCAAAAAACACTTTTCATTTTTCACCTTTGAGTGCAGAGCAGAAATCTCGCTGTGGTGAAACGGATTTTTACAGCTTTAGCTGAGATTAAGTTCTGTGGTGTTGCGCATTGAGAGAGTTAAAGGGGAATTTCACCCGTCTTTTAAAATTTCTGCATAATTCTGTGGAGATGAATGTTTATAAATGTATTTTGGACCAAAATCTGTGATCACTGACATCAGGCAGTGAATTCATAACCATCTACTGTAACATTTTCCTGTGAGGGAGCTTTTAGAGGTGGACGTCTGGTTCCTATCACCACCACTGTGAACAGTTCTGACTCGGTAAGTTTCTCTAGAGCAGAGCGTTTCACACCAAACCACTCTGAACGGCTCTGTTCACATCTTAACCACTTAATTATGCTGGAATTTTAAAGATCAGTGGAGTTCCCCTTTGAACGCTCTGTCGTTTGGTATCAGTCACGCGTGTCGGGGTGTCTCTCCTCTGCAGGCTGGTGCTAATGCTAACCGTTAATGCTAACACAGCTGCTCTGACTGCTCCTCAGCTGAGGTTCAGTGAGAGGCTCGTGTGTGACTCAGCGGCTCCACCGTGTGGACAGCGTTCAGAACTGCACAGATCTGTCTGTAAACTGCTGTGTGTGTGTGTGCGTGTGTGTGCGTGTGTGTGCGTGTGTGTGTGTGTGTGTGTGTGCGTGTGCAGGCTGTTCAGTCACCGCGGTCCGGAGGAGGACGCGTTACCCCGCAGAGGCCGACAGTGTCTGAACGCAAACCTCATCAAAACCACCGTCTTCTTCTTCCTGGAGAGTGAGGTGAGTTTATTCCTCATCGTTCAGCTGTTAAACAGGCCGGCCGAGCAGAGCTGGACTGCAGCGTGGACAGAGCGTCGCCGTGGTGACGTGTATATGTGCACAGTAGTGGTGTTTCTCTTTAATGACCTTTTTTTACAACAACTCAGCATCTTCATTAATAATCACTGCCGTCAGAGCAAAACCTCTCCTCTCCCATCGTCTCTCCTTTACAGACAGGAGAGAAAACATAAACGTACTTTACTGTAATCGTCACTCAGCGTGATCAGACTCTTCCAGCTAATTCTGGGCTGTTTCTTTTGGTCAGTTTATCATGAAATGTACAGACGATGTAAAGACGACAGGCATTTTCAGACCATCAGAAACTGAACAATGGAAAAACGGAGATACAAGGTTTCGTAATGACAGCAGCGATTTATATAGCGACGTATGTTCGTACGCAAATATGTCTGTAAATATCCGTCAGTTTGATGGTTTCTATTGTTTACAGTCAGTGTAGATAGGTGTGATATATGATTGTATACGAGCAATAAGTGCTTCATAATCACCCAGAATCCGCCGTGTTTCCGGCTCCGGCTGCTTTTCGCAGTTATCGGTGCTGAGAGCTGTAGGTGAATCTCAGAGCTGAACTGATGACACCACTAATTTAAATGATGTAATTTAGTCGGTTCACATGATCCCATTGGTTCATCAGAACACCATTAAAGGTCCTCTGGAGCTGTGATTGGTCAAGGCTCGTTTGCATATCAGAGTCTTCTGTGATGTCAGTGTTTCAGAGAGATCTTACTGTGTAGCTGTGCGTTTAGACTGTAACGGCGCTAACAGTGTGATCAGGCTGTGACATCATCACTGTGTCTGCAGCTCCACGAACACGGCGCCTACCTGGTGGACAGTATGTGGGACTGTGCGTCTGACCTGCTGAAGGACTGGGAGAGCATGATCAGCCTCCTGCTGGACGAGCCCTTCCCTGGAGAAGAAGGTGAGCTGCACTCACTCTCACATCACTCTCTCACATCAGTCTCACATATCACTCTCACGTCACTCATCACTCTCTCGTATCACTCTCACATCACTCATCACTCTCTCGTATCACTCTCACATCAGTCTCATCACTCACATCAGTCTCACATCAGTCACACACACAACTCTCTCACATCACTCTCACATCACTCTCACATCACTCTCTCACATCACTCTCACATCACTCTCACATCACTCTCACATCTCACATCACTCTCACACATCACTCTCACACATCACTCTCTCACATCACTCTCTCACATCACTCTCACACATCACTCTCTCACATCACTCTCTCACATCACTCTCACATCACTCTCACATCACTCTCACATCACTCTCTCACATCAGTCTCACGTATCACTCTCACATCACTCTCATCACTCTCAGATATCTGACCCTGAGAGACCCAGAGAACCTCAGTCTGTGTTTTCTCTCTAATGGGGTATTTAATTTTTAACTGTTTTG